CCGCGCCCGCCGCCTGCGCCGACCGAGTCTGTCCGCCGCACTCGCACTGTCAGTACTGCTCCCGCGCCGCGCCGCCCGCCCGACCCACTCATGTAGCCGACTGTTCTTGTCCCGCAGGTGTGCCCAACATGGTGGTAACGGGCGTCCTCGCCAAGCAGGTCACCTGTGTTTGCGACGTCGGATACTACGGTAAGTGTCGCTAGCAAACACTTTCCATTTTTTATTTATTTATTCTTGGTGGACTCACAACTCTCATTTAACCTACATGGCTAGACCCTTTGGCAATGCGTAGAGATGTAGCCTCGTTGTGCATTTTCTACCGCTTATACCACGGGGAGTGCTCTGAGGATTGTTTGACCTGATACCTGCCGCATCTTTTCGCCATCGACCCTCACGACAGAATATGCATCCCCACCATATAGATGGTTGGCATGCCAGAACTGTGCGCATCTCACGTAGCTTCCTGCCTCGCACAGCAAAACTGTGGAATAATCTGTCGTCGACGGTACTTCCGAACTGATACGACCTTCAAACCTTCAAGAAAAGAGCGTACTCCTTTTTAAAAGGCCGGCAACGCACCTGTAGCTCCTCTGGTGTTGCGGGTGTCCATGGGCGGCGCTGATCGCTTACCATGAGGTGATCCGTCTGCTCGTTTGCCTCCTATTCCATAAAAAAACACGTCTCACGATATTTGGAATCAATGTAGGCGCGGCGGGCTTGGCGCCCAACTGCACGGCGCTGGAGGCGGCCTGCGAGGCCGGCGTGTGTCTCAACGGCGCCACGTGCTCCGTGTCCGGCGACCGTCTCAACTGCTCGTGCGCGGCCGGCTACAAGGGTACGTACTGCGCGCTGTGTGCCGCATCCATCGTGTCGTGTGCTTACTGTATGCATGTGTGCGCTGCGCAGGCGCGTACTGCGAGCAGGCCGCGGGCGCCGGCAAGGCGCTGTCCGACCTCAAGGCGGCCGAGCACTGCGCCGCGCAGCCCTGTCTGCACGCCAAGTCCTGCCAGGACCTCGTGAGTACTCGCAAGCTGCAATGTTCGCTTGTCTGTCGACGTGCGCATGACTTTCATGACCTCATCAATACGCTTTGATCGTCCTAATTGTATGTTTGTGCATTCTATTGTGCTGATTATGTATCATTGTATGTCATTTATGATGGTTAGTTATTATACAAAGATATTTTATGGTCCCTATGATCTGGAACATTAAGTATATCTGTAACATAAGTAGGTATCATGTCACATTTACTCCGCAACACGAGCGTGTTACCGTGCGGAGCAGAGTGCAGTAGACCGTGCAGTTATAACGGTGAGTCCGTCAGGCGAGCGGGTTTCGGTGCGAGTGTGAGGCGGGCTGGGCCGGGGCGCGCTGCGACACGGAGGCCGCGGCCGGCGCCGCCGACGACGGCTGCGGC